CAAACTTTTACCGATTTTTTGGCGATAAAGGATTCAGAATGACATGATACGTCATTCTGAATACATGGTTTGGATTTTTGGAGTAAGTATTAACTTCTCCTTTTGGAAGTTAATAAATTTAAAAAAATAAATATAGGAACGTCTTAACTTTATTTTGTTTGTTCACAGGCGTTTATGCAAACTTTAAAAACCATCTTACTAAATTTAAAAATCCGTTGGTAACTTTTCTACTTCTATTAAATTTGGTTTATGCCAGTTGTAATTTTGCGAAATTTTGCTTCTCATTCCAGATATATTCATCGAACACCATATAATTATGTTAACATATATCTTTATTTTCACATGGATTATAAACTGTCCTTATGAAGACAGTTTGACAGTTTATGGAAATCATAATTTTTGATACTAAAATATGAAAAGGAAACAAGAAATATTTCATTTTATTCGCTGATACACTTGGCCACATAAATTTTATTCTTATTTCTTAATTCTATTTAATATTTTACTTTTTTCATAAGATATATAAGGTGTAAGAATGATATTGAGCAATTAATTAGTTTGTAAAAATCATAATTTTTATCCTAGAATTTGAAAAAGAAAGAAATTTTTGTTTGCTAGAACCCTTAGCCACATTACTATTATTTTGTATTATTTTCTATACAACATTGTTCAGCATTGAAATTTGGTTATATTGATTTTACAGAATTTTGTAAACAGTTGTGCTTTTTTACTTTTTCTTTCGATCTGCGTTTTTAAGTCAAATTGTTCCGCGGATTTGAAGACAAAATACTTTTACTGAAACATTTTTACTGCATGTTGTATATAACAAATATTTTCCAGTAAACTAGAAACTTGTGAGTGGCGTTTTACCTTCCTGAAGGAATAGTACATAAAAATAACATTTCGTTTTTTTTACTAAATCAAGATATCTTGATATCTATTAAATAGACTTATAATATCTGCACTTGAAATCACTTAAATTTAATTCATTTAACACATTTCATTCTACTATATGTTCTAAAAGCCTATTGGGTGTGGTGTCAACGATAATCAGTACAACTGAAACACAAATCGGTCAAGGTATATTATTGAAACCACATTGAAAAGTCAAATTTTTTTTCACAACGATTAGAATGATTTGAAATGTCGACAAAACATGAAATTAGTTATTAAACTTTCTAAAAAAAACTTCTACTTTGGAATTCAATAAAAAAAAGTTTTGATGTTAAATATGTATTGTATTTTTGTATATGTATGTAGTGTATTTTTAGTTACGTGATAAAACTGCAATGCGTTTAACTTATTATGATTGGACTATGCTATTGTTGAAATTTTTTATCCTGTTTTATTGTTGCTTATTGTTAGAGAATTAACGAAAAAGTGTGATGAAATGTTGAGAATCGCGATGTTTTGAAAGAATTTAAGTCTGATTTCTGCACATTGTGATACTACTTCTTTCACGTTGTCGATATATTTAGTATTTGCCAGTTATCTGACTGCGCTTTGCTTTTGATCGCAATGTCGCATACCAATAAAACGATAAGGCGACATATGTCGAATGCTTATCCCTTATATTAGCATGCTTTGTTAACAAAAGACAAAACCGACATATAGAGATCACTAGATCGTCTTTCCAATATTTAAATACAGCGGGTAATTGTTACTTATTGTTAATCACCTGATCGCACAGCAAATACATAGCTTTTTGGCAATTGTTACTACCAATTCATACGAAGATAGACCCGTAACATAATAGCGTTACCCTAAATTTCTATTTATCAGGCAGAATATGTCAATTGTTTATAATAAGTCTTACGAACTGCTATGACAATAATTCTCAACTAGATGACTTTTTTAGAAGGATGCATAGTTCGAGTGAATTTGTTATCACTACTACTTGATATCATTGAGTTCGAAACCGATACTAAACTATGATAATTATATAATATAATATAAAATAATGATAAAAATATAAAATAAAATAAAATGGAAAATACTCCAATAATTACAATGCAAAATTAAATAAATTTACTTTAAAGTGCCAACAAATTTAGTACAAATTAGAAGAGAGAACAGAGAATATTTATAACGACATTTTAATGTAGCGCCAACTATTACCAACAAAACAAAAGATACGACGGAGGTCAAAGCATATTATCGATATCAAATCTGGTACAGTTTGTGTTAAACATTCGAAGTGAACACATCGATTGCGTAACAAAATAAACACGTTAAAAATCCAGGCTTGCCTGGTATACATTTATAATAAAACAGTTATTTTAATAACTATATAATGGAGTGTGTTAAACCGAAAAACACACTTCTATTTAATTTCAAAGTAATTGAAGGAATAATTTCGCCATTAACTGCTCATTTGTGGTTAAAAGGAATTTTAAATAGTATTTATGAAGATGTCAGCTGTATATACGGAATATCCATGGAAAATAAGGTATTAAATGTGAAATTTAATAATGAGAAAATTATAAATAAAATTAAAAGTAAATATGAAACTAATATAAAATTTAGTCCGATAAAAATCAGTGTTATGAAATTGAATATAGTGAACCTAGGGAACCGCCACAGTGGATAAAATTGTTAAATGTACAATGGGAGACATCGGAAGAACAAATAAGGAAAATAATGTCAGAGTACGGCAAAATATTAAAGTACCAAGAAGATATATGGACAGGAGAAGGCATTATAAACTGCTACACTGGAAATAGAACCTTATTAATAGAAGTAACAAAAGAAATTCCAGCATGATTAAAGTGAATGGAAAAAACACAACAATAATAATTAGAGGACAACCAAGAAAATGTTTTAAATGTGGAGAAACAAGCCACGTGAAAAAAGAATGTACAATGAACTCAAAAATAGGAGAAAGATTAAAAGATTTTAGGGAAAAATAAACCAATAGTGAATAATAATGAAGAAAACATAATAGATAAAATTGTTGTTACCCAAAGGAAAAAAATGATCAAATTAGAAAAAATGAAGAAGAAGAAGAAATAAATATAAAAAAGAAGAAAAAAATAATAATTAAAAAACAAAGAAAGTTTAATTATATGACTGAATAAAAAAAAAACAAAACAAAAGAAGAAAAAGGAAAACAAAGCATAAATGAAACAGAAAAAACGCCTATCAGTAATAAAAAAATTAAAATAACAACCCCAAATACAGAGGAAGTAATGAAGGATATAATTGAAAACATGGATATAAATACACCAATTTCTTCAATGAATTGTATCTACAGGATTCAGATATAGATATGTCAGAAGAAGACGGATCACTAGAATATGGAAAAGAATATGGTGAAACACCTAATCCTGAAATAAATAAAGAAATAACAAAATTAAAAACTATATAATTTAAATTTCTTCTTAAATTCCTTTTTAAGAACACATATTGATGAATAATTATAAAATCAGAAATATTGCCACAATAAATATAAATGGTATTAGAAGTTTAACGACTAAAATATTACTGAAAAAATTTATAACAGATAATGACTTAGATATAATATTGTTACAAGAAATAAATGAAAATGATTTAAGATTTTTTAACCATATGAAGGTATAGTAAACATTAATGAAAATCAAAGAGGTACAGCCATATTAACAAGACCAGGAATTGAAATAAAAAATGTAATCCTTCATGAAAATTCTAGAATAATAGGTGCTAACATAGATGACTTAAATTTAGTTAATATATATGCCCATGCCGGTAATGGTCAGCGTCCACAAAGGGAGAAATTATTTGAAGAAGATATAGCCAGTATAATAGGACCAAACAAATCTAATATCATGATCGCAGGCGATTTTAATTGTGTATTAAATGCCAAGGACCAAAAAGGAAGAACAAATTATAGTGCTGCACTAAAAAGATTGTTAAACCAATTAAAATTAAAAGATGCGTGGGAGTATTTAAATAAGAAAGATAATGGGTTTACATTTATTAGGGGTGATTCAGCTTCAAGATTAGATAGATTTTATACTGACACTTTAATAAAAAATAGAATAGTTGATTGCAAAGTAATTCCAGTAGCCTTTTCAGACCATAATGCGGTAGTTCTAAAATTGAAAGTTGTGACATCAGTGCCATTTTTGGAAAAAGTTACTGGAAAATGAAACAAAAATACTTAAATCCGAAGATTTTGATAATTATTTAGACAAGAATGGGAGAAAATTGTTAAAATTTCATCACGTACGAATGTAATTGATTGGTGGCAAAATAAAGTAAAAACCAAATTAAAATACATTGCAAAAAATTTATCCAGACAAAATGCAATAGATTTCAATAATACAATAAATTTTTTTGAAAAGGTATTGAAGGAGGCAGTTGTAAATCACAACAATAATGGTGAAATGTGGGAAATAATTAAAGAAACAAAAGCCACAATTAGAAAATTATATGATACTCGTAACGAAGGAATTAAAATAAGATCAAGGACCCAAACATTACAGAAGAAGAGCGCATATTACTACATATCAAATTGCAAAGGAAAAAATCAATGGAGAAAACAAATTCATTAAATCGTTATTTAATAACGAAAATATTTGTTTAAAAAATTCTAAAGAAATAATTGTAGAAATGGAAAGATCATACAAAAATTTCTACAAAGAAAAACCGATAAATTATAAGGAAATGGATCTCATACTAAGGAAATAATAATAAAACATAAGCATTCTTTCTAATGAACAACTAAGAAAGAAATTTCGGAGGAAGAAGTGAGGGAAGCGATTAAGACAAGCAGTAAAAATAGGACACCTGGAATAGATGGCATTCCGTATGAATTTTATCAAAAATATGAAGACATTTTAACACCTTTTTAGTTAAAATATTTAACGAATTTTTAAACGAACCGGAAAAGATAAATAAAAAACTTAATGAAGGAATAATAATATTAATTTCGAAAAAAAAGGATCCAAAATATACAGACGATTATATAGACCAATTACGCTTTTAAACTGTGTTATAAAATTATTTCGAATAGAATGAAAATGGCTGTTCAAAATATTATTAACCAGGGGCAATCATGCTGTATGGATAAAAGAAATATTGTTGATAATTTAATAACTGTTAGAAACTTGGTGGCATACTATAATATAAAACATAATGAAAAAGCATCTTTGATAAACATAGATTTTAAGAAAGCCTTTGACATGATGTCACATGATTATTTGCTGCATGTATTAAGAAAAATATCAATTCCTGACAAAATAACCAAAGTAATAATGAATCTTAATAAAAACGCAACCTCACGATTACAAATAAATGGGAATCTATCTGAATATATAAAAATTGAAAGATCCGTCAGACAGGGATGTCCTTTGTCAATGATTCTATTTGTTATTGGTTTAGATCCTTTACTTGAAGAATTGGAAAACAAATTAGAAGGTCAAAATATAATAACTAAAAATGTTAAGATACTTGCATATGCTGATGATGTTACTTTAATAGTTAAATCAAATAGTGAAGAAATAAAATCCTTAGAAATCATTAAATCTTATTGTAAAAGTTCAGGAGCAGAAATAAATGAACAAAAATCCACATTTCTATCGCTAGGTATGAGATGGGTAAGGGATTCAGAAAGCAACATACCAGAAACCCCAAAAATTAAATATTTGGGAATGATTATATCAAAAAATTTAGAGGAAATGATTAATGAGAACTGGAATAATTAATATAAATAATATAAGAGTGACATTAAATACAGATTTATCAAGACGACTAAATGTAATTCAAAAAATCTGGCATAAATCAATTTGCCTTAGCAAAATTATGGTATTTAGCGCAAGTATTACCAATGCATAAAGTATTTTCACAAAAAATTGAAACTATAATAGGTTACTATATCTGGAATGGTTATAGAATAAGAATTAATAGAAATCAATTAAAATTGAAAGAAAAACCAAGGAGGTCTAAATTTAATATCAACTGCTGAAAAATGTAAAGCATTACTCTTTAAAAATATGATAAAACAGATCATAACAAAGGAAATCAACACAGGATTTTTAGAACTTTGGATCAATAATAAACATTTTCCGAAATCTATTAAAAAAGAATGGGTAATCATAATGAAAAATATCAATGGAATCTAGAAAATACTACAACAAAAGAAATATATATAAAACTAACTAATGATTATACTCCAAGAATAATGGAGAAAAACCCGAATTTGAACTGGAATAATATTTGGAAGAATTAAGAAAAAACAAAAATATTCCTTCTGAATGGAGAACCACAAACTATATGATAGTCAATGAATGCATAGCCATGAAAATGAAGCTGTTTAAAATGAAAATGGCTGATACTGCTAATTGTACAAAATGTAATAAAGAAGAAAATGCAATACATTTCTTAACAGAGTGCGGTGAAAATAAAAAGATATGGAATTGGATGAAGCATAGACTGAAATTATTAAAAATTAATCTAAATGAGAAAGATTATAAATTAATAAAATTCGACATTATGAAAAGACCAGAAGAAGAAAACAATATCATAATATGGCTATTATCTGGTGTTCTAAATAATATATACAATGGAATTGAAGAATTAACATTAATCGAAAGGAATTAAGAGAGAAGCGGAAAGACTACATAATAAGAAATAAAAATAAGAATAATTCATTTATGTACAAATTTTGTAAATTATAATGTAGATATTAAGAAATAAAGTATAAT